GATCCCAAACACACATCAGAGCTGGTTTTGGATGAAGCAGCTTAGCATGAAGCTGCAGAACAGAAGAGAAGCTACAACTTCAACCCTGCTGAAAATTAGTTTAAAGGCAGGAAACCAACCAGCATGAACTCTAGCTTGATGTTAACACACACCCACACACACACACACAGTGTGGATCAGAGAAAATTGAAAATAAATTCACACCTGTGTTTATCTGTGTCACAATTATTCCACCCGAGAAAAAGAACAGCTCCATAAAAGCCCAGAGTTCCTCCGGCCGAGGTGCCGGCGTCACAACGACTCACCGATACGAGATGATCTCCTTCAGGTGATTGGTCAGCAGCTTCCCTCCCACGTTGATCCTAAAAGGAAAAACAGGCATCAGGTTGCTGCTGTTGGTGTTCTCGCTGCTGCGTCTGCAGGGTCGCGTCATCTAACCTGCGGATGCCCTCCTTCATTTTCCTGCTGCGGCAGTAGGGGGCGATGTGGGTGAAGGAGAACCCGGTGTCCACCACCATGCAGCAGAGCTCGGAGGGGTTTGTGTGGAAGTAGTGATGAGCACTAAGAGAGCCGGCTGGAGGAACAAAGTGGGGAATCGTTCAAAGAAAGCTTCCCTGATTGTCTGAAATCAGCAGCTCAGTTTTACCGTTTTTTACAGTTTACGAGCGCCACTCTTACTAAAACGAGATGCCAGGCTTTTATTCTGAAAGTAACAGGAAATCTAACAGGATGAACTCACCGTTGATCCTGAGTGCCGACTGGAACTGGTACTCCTCAAACAGGATCTCGTTCATGGACTCTTGAATGGAGGTGAAGTTGAAGTAGGGCTCGGTGATGACGACGCTCGTGTCTGCAAAATCCACCTGCACCCAGAAAACAGGGTCAGCCTCCACCACAGGAGGAGCTCAGTCAAACACAGCGATGAGGGGTGGAGTCACCTTAAACATCTCCTTTCCAAACAGGTGGTCCCACACCTTCCTCTGGACGTCCCAGTTCACCAGGTAACCCTGAAGAGAGAAACGGTGGAAATGAGACAGTCTGACGTCAGGCCGAAGCTGCTTCACCCTCACGTGACTTCACCTTCTGGAAGGGGAGGATGTAGAAGAGCCCCGAAGGATCTTTGATCTCATCCAGCTGGTTTGCAGTGAAGGTTTTTAACCTGGACGTCTTTGAGCGAAACTGGCAGTTTGGGATGACGCTGAGAGGGACAGAGAGAAGGTCCACGTCAG